TCAATTTCATACTCAATTTATGCTTTTAATATGATTATAATAATATAAATCTCTTCTTAGAATTTGGCATTTTTTCAATATCCATCAAACCTGATAAGAGTTACCTAGGCTCAGTTCATGTGTTTGGACAAGGGGGTTTTTAGCGGAGATTATCAGTTTGAGAGATAGTGCTCTCTCCTTCTCTTCCTAGTTGGGAAAAAACTTATGTGATAGCACATTGCCAGTGGAAGTTTACTAAGTTGAACTCTGATGCTGCAATCCTGCCTTGAAGTCTTTCTTTTTCTTAACTCTGTTAAACACTCATTTGACATACTTTCCTTTATTAACTAAATGGATTTCTTTGGAGAAAATAGGTGAAAATGTTGAACCTTTGGAGATTGAAGAAGCTGCCATGAGGAGTAGTCTTATTCAACAAATTGTTGTCATTGGCCAGGCAAGTTGGACACCTTTCTTTCCACAAAGTTGCTTGTGGATTTTACACGTAGTTTCTTTCTTTATTTACATGTATCATTGTTTATCGACATATTCTGTACAGGATCAACGACGCCTTGCAGCTATCATTGTCCCAAACAAAGATGAGGTGCTCCAGGCTGCAAAAAATTCCTCTATCGTAGATGCAGATGCCGTAGATCTTGGCAGGGACAAAATGACAAGCCTGTTATATGAAGAATTGAAGAAGAGGTAATACTTCCAAATTCAGTTATTTGAATTATTTTAGTTCGGATTTAAGGCCTTCAACGGGTGTCATTTCCTCCTCTCTCTTTGCTTTCTTCCTGTTGCAGTACTTAAGACAGGGAGGGACAGAATTTTTGGTTTTGAGGAAATATGGATCAACAGTTAATAGGTTTAATGTGCTATGAACCCTGCAGAGATATAGATTCCATTATTAATAATGCAACTTGCCCTCTCAGAAAAATTGCCTGCAAGTTCCTTAACTCTCCAGGAGTAGACTCATTTTTTATGCAAAACATGTCAAAAAAATTAGACATAGTTTTCCTGCTTGTTTCATGTCATTGGATTTGTTTCTGAACCCTTCAAATTTTTTCCAGTTTTATTTAGGGATTTTTTTTCTCAATAGATAGCTACAGTAGTATCTGCATATATGTTGCCAGCACTCCTATTTTCCAAAAATAGTGATGAAATGTATCTTGTTATTAGGAGATGTTTACAGTCCACAGCCGATTTTGTGCAAGGCTGTTGTCTGACTTGATTCTCTTTTGCACAGGACCTCGGAGTGTTTGTTTCAAATTGGACCTATCCTTATTGTGGATGAACCGTTTACGGTAAGACTTTCATGCCGGCAATGCAGGATCAACAATTCCGCATAAATTATGTTAGACTTAAGTATATGCGCAAAATTTTTTTGCAGATCGATGGTGGCTTAATGACCCCAACCATGAAAATCCGAAGAGACAGAGTTGTAGCTCAATACAAGGAGGAAATAGCCAATCTCTACAAGTAAATTCCCTTTGACAAATATGATTATAACTTAATTGTATACTTGAAGACTACAATATGAACCTAATTATGTAAGTTACACCAATAATTTTGTAACTTTATGAAATTGTATATTCTTCAAATTTTAAGTATTTGGCTTTTCTTGTTTTCATGCATTTTATCTTTGTTTTTATTTGGAAATGGAGGATTGCATATTATGCATACAAAATAGTTTCAAATAGCAAAGGAAATATCAGGATGAAATGAGAATTGGGTTACTTGGGTGCCCAAATGGGACAAATTAATGGTGGAAAACTATTCTGAAACTAATTCTTTGAGTAATGAAACAAAGCATGGAATGCATTGCATCAATCATTGATTTTTTTTTTTTTTTGAAACAGTATCAATCAATGAATGAAATGTTTGGATTTTACAAATAAAAATTTATTAACTCGATTCCATTTAAGCCTGATGAATACACATGGGCAGCATTGTTAAGTGTTTGTAATTAAGCATTATGGAAATCCCAAAATGGCTATTAGGTTTGCTGACCATCTACTGAGCTTGAAACCTGAAGAACCTTCAACATTTATTCTGTTATCTAAGATTTATGTTAGTTCCAGTTTGTGGGAACATGCTTCAAAAGCAAAGCACATGCTGGAAACTTTGAAAGTCAGAAAGGAACTGGGTTATAGCTCCATTGATTTTGGCAAAGCAAGCCAAAGGAAACATCTCATCCCATGAAGGATGAGAATTTTGGTTTGCTTAAGGAGTTAAATGATACGAGAGTTAATGAAGTAAATGAAAATGTTGTTATTGTTGATAGAAATGAGTAATGTAAAAAGATTTAAAACTATAATTTTACGTGATTTTTTGTTTTTAACCTTTCAATATAGTTCGATTTCAGAATTATGAGATAAAAGGCTTAGTTTATTGTTGAAGGAGTTGGATGTAGAGACGAGAAGAAGAGGTTGATGTTCCTGATAGCTGCTGTGTTTTGCATAACATGGAACAGCAAGAGGAGGGCCAATTATTTTGGCATAGTGAGAGATTGGCTGTGGCTTATGGGCTTCTGAAATTTGTTCCAGGAACAGTTATTTGGACAGTGAAGAATCTTCCTGTATGTGGAGACCGTCATGCTGTCTTAAAATTCATTAGTCACATTGTCAAGGGAGAAATTATTGTCAGATATGCCAAAAGATGTCACCATTTTAAAGATAGGAAGTGTTCATGCAATGATTTTTTGGTGAATTTATGATTTTTTTTTTTTGGGTTCCCTCGTTTAACTGTTTATTAAAGTCATAGAGATTGGTAAAAATTAATTCGATTTTAAATATCGATTCGATAAATTTAAATCTAAATATGATCAATTTGATTGGATATAACATAAATTTATATTATTAGTAAATTATTTTTTAATTATTTAACGTTGATATTTTAATTTTTATATAATTTAATTATATTTATTAAATTTTATATTTATTTTTAAAAAATTAGTCAAATCTAAAATATCAATTCATAAATCTAAATTTAAATACGATCGATTTGATTTGATATAACATAATTTTATATTATTAATAAATTATTTTTAAATAATTTAATGATGATATTTTAATTTTTATATAACTTAATTATATTTATTAAATTTTAAAAATTAATAAATTGAATATAAATAATAATTAAACCCTAATGGTATGAACGTTAAATCAAATTGATCTAAATCCAATCTAATCTAAATTTGAAAATGATTAGATTTTTTTTAATCCAATGCTCTAATCCGAAATATAATGCAATTGTTGTGTTGTGGTTAGGGGTGTAAATGATACATTAGTATTCGTAAGTTACTCGGGTTCGATTCGAATAAAACTCGAATTCGGTTCGATTATTATCGAGTCGAGCTCGAGTTCGAGTAGCTTGACTCATCGATCAAGTCGAATTCGAATATTCTTATACTCAGTTCGATTAGTTCGCGAGCCTAATCGAACTTTTATATTTAAAATTTTTTTATTATTTTAATTAATAAAATATCTCGAATTCGAGCTCGACCTCGAACACAAATAATCGAACTCTTGTCAAGTATAAGAATTGAGTTTATTTTTACATATTTTTGAACTTAATCGAGCGAGTTCGAGTAACTTAAATTCGATCATAAATCGAGTTCGAACCGCGTATCGAACCGCGAATCGAGAGTCGAATTCGAGTTTAAACTTTTCACTATATCGATTCGATTTGACTCATTTACACATCTAATCGTAACTTTACGGAGATAAAAGGATAAATTTATTGGTATAAAATAATGGATATAAATAATTATGATGGTACAATTTTTGAAAAAAAAAAAGGATAAATGAATTGAATCATAGAAAAGTCGACAATGCAAAATTTTCAAACTGTCCAATCTTTGGAAGATAGCATTTCAACTTTTCCATGGACAATATCATGGAAAAATCAACAAGGCAAAAATTTCCTTTAATATGATAAGATTTTTTTTTTTTTTTGGTGGACTTGGCACTATCTATAGTGCTAAATGCAATCATTGTTATACTTATTCATCTAATTTACATTTTTTTAGTTTTTTTGTTAATATTTATTTAAAAAATATTAATATAAAAATTGAAGTCATAATTAAGTATTATTATTATATGTAAATTTTAGATCATAAATAAAAAATTAATGAATTAAATTATCAACCAATAAATTAATATATAATTAGATAAATCAATAAAATTAAATTAAAATTGCATATGATGGAATTTAAACTTGAAACCTCAAAGTAATTTTTAATTTAGTTTTTCTTTCCACAAGGTAATTATATGGATGATGTTGCTTACTCACCACTATACCTTGTTCAATATCTTCAAAAAATTCATTACTAAATTTCATTTGTTTAATTTCATACGGATTTCTTTTTTTTTTCTCAAATGGATAAGGTTTTATTATTAAATTTTTTCTTAAAATTTATTAAATAATAGTTAAAATTTTAAATATTAATTATAATTAAATTAAAAATATTAATTTTTTAAAAAAACGTGCTTTGAAAATTTTAAAAGTCAAACTTTACAAATTTTATTTTAAAAAATTTTATAATTTTATTAAAAATATAATAAAATTAAAAAAAATGACTAAAAAATAATAAAATATAAATAAATTAAAAAAATAATATTTTAAAAACCACAAAAACAAATCAAATCATAACTTACAATAGAAAAAAAAATTACAAATATTAAATACTAAATTATATTTTTTCTAATCCAAAATGCTTAACCTAATTATACCTAATTATAGACTAATATTTTAATCGTCATTCTCGTCAAATCAAATCAATCAAATCACGTGACAGTTCAATCCGATATGCCACTGTACCAACGGGTCCCACTTCTGCCTCAGCTAAAGATTCCATGGAACAAACAAAACTGCCGCAATTTACGAACACACGCGACAGGTGTCAATCAGAACACTGTCAGATGAGATAATGCTGACACTGATGTGGAAAATCGGAAATCTCTATACATCGCACCTAGACATGTTGCATGGAGACAAAACTCATAGCCATATTCAGAAAAAAAAAAAAAGAAAAAAAAGATACTCGATGTAACGTAATTTCCACTTTACCCAGTTTTATCACCATAAATTACAGAGATTTCCTATGTATCAGTGAGTTTCTGTTGGAAAAGCTTTTTATAAAATAAGTTTGGTATTGAAAGAAAATAGAAGAAAAAGAGAGATTTTGCCATGGCTACAGAAACTGAGTGTTGCAAGACTTCAGGACCAGGGTATGGTTCTCCATTGGAAGCCATGTCTGGTCCTAGAGAAGCTCTTATTTATGTTACTTGTGTTTATACTGGTACTTTACTTTCCTTATTTCTTTTTTTTTTTTTCTTTTTCTGGGTGTGATTTTTACTATATGTTATTTGCAAGAAACGTTTATGTGCAATTTTTCTGGGAAGTTTGAATAATTTTTTGATTTGATCCATGTGTTCCTAGAATTATAGATTGTTATGTGTTCATTACTAGTTATAAAAAATTTTAGAAAAAGTTGTGTGGGTGGGTTTCTTTCTACTTTTAACAATTAAGGAAAGTAGACTTTTTTCATACTTTTTTTTTACATCTTTCCATTTTATTTTTCTACTTATAGCTAGAAATTTTTGGTCATTTTAAGACAAGGAATTTCTAAGTTCTTCCGCTTTTGATTTCTTCTAAAGAAATTTTAACCATAATTTTATTGTTTAGGGCCTCACTTTCCAACAAAATTTTCCTCACATAACAAATTTAGTCGCAATTTGATTGAGTGAGATCTTTAAAAGTTATTTGATTATCCCAAGCCTCTACTGGAATGTGAATTTTTATGCTGCCTGACATGTTAGCAGGCTTTGACCTCTGTTTTGCATCCACAAGGAACTGGTTAATTGTCATCACTCTGCTTTGTTTCATCATTCATCTCAAATAAAAGTACATTTGATCCTTTTCTTGAAGCAAAACTTGCCGGGTTATTTAATTACTTGTGTTCATCTTTGTGGTTATTTTGGGCTGGTTTTCTTAGTTTTGAAGTTGTAAAACGAGTTTTGAATGGTTCAGTATCTATGCAGGAACTGGAAGAGAGAAGCCTGATTACCTTGCAACAGTTGATGTTGATCCAAATTCACCTACTTATTCTAAAATTATAAACAGGCTACCTGTGCCATATTTTGGTGATGAACTACACCACTCAGGATGGAATGCATGCAGCTCTTGTCATGGAGATCCATCTGCAGATCGACGATTTCTGATCCTGCCTTCATTGATGTAAGAGACTGTATTTTTTTACTTAATTCTGGATTTTCATTTCCCTTTCGGCTGTAATAAATAGCATTATTGTGGTGAACTGAAGCAAGCAGAGAGGAGAGAAGAAATGTAGCAAAAAAGTACTGCAAATACAATTGAAAAGGCTACCATTTAAATTTCAGCATAATATGTCTAAAATTAATTGGTTGGAGCCTGGACCAATACAAACTGCTGAAGGTTACTGATTGTGTTTACCATTTTCCATTTCTTCCAAGTAGTCAGTTTTGTTTCTACATATATCCTGAAGGTGATGGGTATTTCTACCCATGTTAGATGCATTCTCATACCTCTTTGTGAGATTTGAATGCTTGACTCAAATTTTCTTCAAGATTTCTTCTTTGGTTGCATGTGTCACGGGCTGAGACTCGTGTGTGCGGGTCGTGACACATGCCTCTGCGTACTGATCATATACTATTCACTGCAGTATAGGATATTATATGTCTCTCACCTCAGACTGTCAGACATGTCTCTATCAAACTGAATAAATGAATTATGATGTCTATTTCTTACATCATCTATCTTTTATAACGATAAACAATGTGCTTTCAATTGTAGCATTAGCTATTGAGATAGTAGAATTTTTATTATACAGACATAATTTAACTGTTCCACTTCCACGATGTTAAGGTACCGAAATTTCATTATATAGTATTCTGCTTCTTTCAGATCTGGTCGTATCTATGTGGTTGACACAAAGAAGAATCCCAAGGCTCCCTCATTGCATAAAGTGGTGCAGCCTGAGGATATCGTTAAGAAGACAGGCCTAGCATATCCGCACACATCTCACTGCCTAGCCTCTGGAGATATAATGGTGTCATGTCTCGGGGACAAAGATGGAAATGCTGAAGGAAATGGATTTCTTCTCCTTGATTCTGAATTTAATGTGAAAGGAAGGTAATGCCAAAAACACAAAAAAAAAAAAGGAAAATGATTGTGAATGATAGAAATGATTGCTAGCTGTGGTTTTTGGTTTATGATATAAGCTTTGAAACAATCAGATTCAACCTATTAACTACTATTGTGTTCTTCAGGTGGGAGAAACCAGGGCATAGTCCGCTGTTTGGCTATGACTTTTGGTACCAACCTCTACATAAAACAATGATCAGCTCATCATGGGGTGCTCCTGCAGCCTTCACCAAAGGTTTCAACCTTCAGCATGTCACAGATGGTCTGTATGGGAGACATCTGTATGTGTATAGCTGGCCTGATGGTGAATTGAAACAAACATTGGATCTCGGTGACACTGGTCTCATACCATTAGAGGTGTATTACATGTTAACATTATGAACATGTTATTATTTTTTAAGACTAGATTTTGCTTAAAGATAATATGTAGTTCTGTTTCATTTTCATTGTTATAATGATACAGTGAGATCCTGGATTCACTGCATATAATTTTGTCATTTCTATGCAGATAAGATTCCTGCATGATCCCTCTAAAGATACAGGGTATGTTGGGTGTGCGTTGACAAGTAACATGGTGCGGTTTTTCAAAACCCAAGATGGATCATGGAGCCATGAGGTGTGCGCATAAATAACTTTTTATTGTTTTTGTATTGTTATTGTTTATGGTTTTTGCAAGTCTTTGCATTCCACAAGCCTAATAATATGAATATCCTAATCAACTTCTACAGGTGGCAATCTCAGTGAAATCATTGAAGGTGCAAAACTGGATTCTTCCTGAAATGCCTGGACTTATAACCGACTTTCTAATCTCTCTTGATGATCGTTTTCTGTATTTTGTCAACTGGCTTCATGGAGATGTCCGACAATATAATATTGAGGACCCTAAATATCCAGTCTTGGCTGGCCAAGTGTGGGTTGGAGGACTGATTCAAAATGGAAGCCCTATACTGGCAGTGACAGAAGATGGTAAAACGTGGCAATCCAATGTTCCTGAGATCCAGGTCGGTTCTGATATTCATGTTAGTTATAAACTAGAAGTTTGAGTAGTAGTTAAGAAAAAGGCAAAATGACGTATGACCTCATCAGGGCTACACCTAATTTTAAACATAACATGATAACACAACACGAAAGAAGACAAATTATCAGGTTTAATCAGGGCATAATGATAGGTTTGATAGATTCTTAACATTGTTTTAGAAGTTAGAAAACAAGATTGTCTATCCCCACATTGAATAAACAAAAACAAGAAATAGGCCAGGAGATGCATGGAGAGGGGGGGGGGGGGGTTGAGGTTCAATCTGGTTCTTTTTGGCCTGATTGCTACGACTACTGACTTATCATTTGATGCTCAGGCTACCTAGACAAACAGCCTGGTTTGACACTTGACAGGCTGCTGTGCTCGCTAATTCTTAGGAATGGTATCACATCAGCCAATTAACCATATTCACTACAAAAACCCCTTCTTTTAACTTAATTGTTAAGTGGTAAACTTCTTATCTTCTTTATAGGGACACCGTCTCAGAGGGGGACCCCAGATGATCCAATTGAGCTTAGATGGGAAGAGGCTATATGTAACGAACTCACTGTTCAGCACATGGGATCGCCAATTCTATCCTGATCTTGTGGAGAAGGGTTCCCACATGTTACAAATTGATGTTGACACTGAGAAAGGTGGTCTTAAAATAAACCCGAACTTTTTTGTTGACTTTGGAGCTGAACCTGATGGCCCTTCTCTGGCTCATGAGATGAGATATCCAGGTGGTGACTGCACTTCAGATATTTGGATTTAAGCACCCTGAACTAATTTAGCAGTGAAGAATCATCCTTTATTGTAGTAGGACAAAAAAAAAAAAAATCAACGCAATTCCAGTTACAATGTGTTGAGGCAGGATCATCTGGAAAGATATAATGTATGTATAAACTGTAGATCAGCACGTCTATGTAAAATTATAACCAGCTGAAAGTAGTCAATAAAGAGTCCAAATTGCATTGTCTGAGCTAATTCTCTTTTTAAGCTTTTAGGTATTGGAAGATTGTTTTTAAAACAGAATTATAGTAATATCATTTTAAAATCTGATATATAACAGCCAGTTACATATAAATATGACAGATTCCATAGGTAGACTCTGAAAGAACAAGGTACTGTTGCAGGAATCCTAACTGACAGAATTGTCAGACTCTTGAAGAAACTGCTTATGGCTTCTTGAGCCTGAAGAAAACAGATAATAACAGAATATGACCAATTGAAAACACAATAACAGACCCCACCACCAACCATAAAATGCTGTCTCTAGGAATGAACCATCTTCCGATCATAGCAATTCCGTTGCCCGTGAAGGAAAATGAGATCTCTATCAGAGGAGGAACATCATTCTCTTCTGATGAATTACTTCTTTGCTGACCTTCAACTTTCTTCAAACCAACCCAATTTTGATACGAAATGTGGATGCAATATAACGAAAGAAATAATACCCCCCAAAAAAATATTAAGTTCCCTTTTTCAAAGTGTTGGTCATTGCTTTCGCAAACTGCAGTAAGATGAACTGCCACGAACAATAAATGGTGCCAACAGAGGTTGGCAAATGATTTTTTCCATTTCCAGACAATTAGAGATGATGAAGAAGCAGGAAGGTACTGATAGAAAAGCTACCAGCAATGTTAAATGGCATGGTAGGGAAAGCTGACAGATGAGGACCACTAAGTGCACATAGCAAACCATGGCTAAAAGCAAGGAAAGCTCTGTTGCGTGGAGAGTTGGTCATGGTTTTGTCATCTTTGGTATAGAAAATGAACAATTAATCTGATGGAAAGAATTGAGAAAAATGAAGATGATGGGGCTTTGTTTGCTTCAAATTGAGCTAAGTTCATTTCTCGGATGACTTCATTTACTAGCATTTTCAGTCAACGGGAAGGTATGAGCAAGTTAGATCAAGATTAAGACCACTTGACATGAGACAGCTGCCATGGTCATTTTTAAAGGCAGTGAGTCAGTGAATTAAACTATATTGGCTTGGTTTTTTACCTTTGATTTCATTTATTTTTTTTTTTCCATTTTCCATCGTTATTTTCAAAGTAGGGCCCCACTGATTTAATGAACCTTCTTGGTGCGGTTCCTAATCATACTAACAGCCCAAAAAAAAAAAAATAATGTGAATTCTAACAACTAGTAACGATCTTGACAGTGTAATTTTCAGATGAATGTACTAAGTTTCCAAAAATCATTTTTTTCATTGCATTTTTTTCTTTGACTTTCCTGGCTGTCAAAGGTTTCTCTGAAGCATCTTCTTCAATTTTTTTTTTAATTTCTTTTTTAAAGTAAATTCTAAGAAAAACAAAAGACAAGACCTAAGTGAATGAAAATTGTCTATCAATGATCTCTTTAATTTTTAAAATAATATAAATTATTTGAATTTAAGTTTATATATTTTCTTATTTATGTATGAAGATATAAATATATATAAAGTACAATATTAATTAAAAAAAGAAAAGTATCCTTTTAAAAGAGCTAATTATTTGACACTCACCACGCAATTATTAATATTTTATTATTTTTTTGGTATTTTTTATAAAATATTTTTTGAAAAGTATTTATATTAATTTTTTTGTAATTTTTTTCAATTTTTTTAATCTAGAAGCTTATTTAAATAGTTTAATTTTACCTTTATTTTTAATTAATATAAAAAATTATTAAACATCCAATCATAAGATGACAAATGTCGTCAAATTAGATGTCTTATGAATAGTAATAAATTTGGAGATTATTTTTTTTATTTAGAGGTATGAGGTTTTTGGATTCTACCAAATACATCTTTTTCTAGATCAATTTTAAATAGGTTTATTTATATTGGGTCTAATAAATTCATGAGAAGTTATCTTTGCTTAACCTTTCAGTGGATTCGAACCTAGGTAACAAAGAGAAAACACACTTTATTTGCCATTTAAATTAACCATTTGTTAATAGATTTGAGAACTACTTTAAATAATAATAATAGATTTATTAAATTTTAAAATAAAATTTAATTGAAGGGTAATTATAAAGCAACAAGTGTCATACAATGGAAACTTCAATTGAACAATTATTTAATGTTTTAATTAGGGGATAACTTTTACATTATGGTATAGATTTTAGAATATATAAAACAACAATATATGTAAATATTGCTCAACACTAATGGAGTTCAAATTTTTGGGATTTAAGATAGTGTCGAGTCTAGTAATTAGTAGCTTTTACTCTTTATGGAAAATCAAATATTAAATTTAAAAGATTATCTCTATATGTGGTTGATAATGATGAGCTCTTGTTTTAATAATAAAAGTAAGGTTTTAAAATTTGTAAATTTAAGTTCAAATCGTACCACATATTCATTTAATTTAATTTTATATTGGTTTTGCTTATTAATTTATTTTTTGTATAGAAGAGGCATAATTATAGAGGAAGAGTTCGAAATCAAGATTTCTAAGTTATTCCAAAAATTCTTTAATCACTAAATTAAGAAGTTGAGGATAAAATATTATATAATATATTATTTAATTTCAAACAAAATATACACATACTTTGTATATAATAATGTTAATGTTTCATGTAAAATCAGAATAATATAATAAGGGGAGGACATCAACTTACACTAGTCGATTTTATATTACACAAAATATTATACATACTCTTTTTTTAATAATTGATTTCTATAGATCTAAATGAGAGAGTTTTTAATTATTAATTTTAATAAATCTAAGAGATGAGAGACACAAGTGAAAAAAAAAGTTTAATCCCATCCCTTAAATTTATTGAAATCAATAGTAAAAAATATATATATATATATATAACTTTTTGGGTGTAACTTAATTTTTCTCCATATATATATATATATAATTGGCGGTCTATTCTTTATAAATTCTAAACCAACAAAAACATACATATGTAGTGATATCATGTTTTTAACATCTTAAACTAAAACTTTTAAATTAATTGAATATTTTTCCTAAGAAAAAAAAAAGGAATATTTTTCAACCATATGCATTTTAAGACAAGAAATACAAACATACATACATATATATATATATATATATCCTTTTAACAAAAAATCAAAAATATAAAAAACTTAAATTCGTATTTACTAGACCATGTAATAGACTATAATTAACATTGATACATATATAGATCCCAATACAAATATATAATATAATTTTATATTATTAGTAAAAATATATGTATTTTTAGTAAAAAAACTTATCAAATTTTTTTCTGTTAAATAAATATTTATCAAATTTGAATTATAAATAATATTTTTAATATTATTGATCTTCTTAATGAAATCTAACTGTTATTCGATTTTTATTTTTTATTTTCAATTTTATTAAATTATTTTTAATAAAAAATTTCACAAATTTCACTTAAAAAACTTCACTAAAAATTTTCATATCTTAATATTTCCTGCCACCAACATCTTCTCCTTTGTTATTTCTTCTAACAAAGTAACAATACAAAAAAGGTTTAAGGTCCACATAATTTAACTTTACCATTGTCCAACCAATAGTATTTAAGGCTTTTTTTTCTATGTAGTCAAAAGAAGCTTTCATAAAGAAGAATAAAGTTTCCTTTATCGTTGAAGACAATATTGAAGTCCACATCACTATGCACCCACTCCTCCAAGTTATTTCCCATTAAGTTCCATTCCACGTATGAATTTCTTGGTGGGTTCCTAGTCATTAATTTGAATAGTAACTATTAGTAATGACCCTTATATTTTAAATTTCAGATGGATGTACTAAGTTTCCAAAAACCATTTTCTCCATTGCAATTTTTTGTTTGACTTTCCATGGCTGCCAAAGGTTTCTCTGAAGCATCTTCTTCTGGCTTCAAATGGAACCATGATGTCTTTCTAAGTTTCAGAGGTGAAGACACTCGGAAGAACTTCACGGATCATCTCTACGCAGCTTTGGTGAGAGATGGAGTGGTTACCTTCAGAGATGACGATGAACTTCCCAGGGGAAAAGACATCTCCTCGGAGCTCCTCAAAGCAATTGAAGAATCAAAACTTTCTATAGTGGTTTTCTCTAAAAACTATGCTTCTTCCAGGTGGTGTCTTGATGAGCTTGTCAAGATTATTGAGTGCAAAAACACAACTGGCCAGATTGTTATTCCAGTCTTCTACGATGTTGATCCATCTGATGTCCGAAAGCAGATCGGAAGTTATGAAGAAGCTTTTGCTAAACACGAAGAACGGTTTAAAGATAAGATGGAAAGGATCAAAAAGTGGAGAGAAGCTCTTACAGAAGCTGGAAATTTATCGGGTTGGGACCTTCGAAATGTGACAAATGGGTAATGTTTAATTTTTAAGATGAATCATCCAAAAAGTTCTACGATATATATATATATATATATTTATGTACATCTTCCTTATAAATAAAAAAATTAAATGAAACTAATTTTAATTGCTAGTTATTGCTATTAAAGTTATTATATGCGCCTCATTTTAAATTATGGTAGTCAATTTATATCTTAGTATAAATTGTTTTTTTAATGTTTGATGATTTAAACCTTAAAATTAAGAGTGGAAATTCTACCCAAACTATATATACCTGAAAAAATGTTTAATTTATGTTTATTGTAAAGTTGTTTGTTTCAAGTGTATCGTGAGAATATCTCATACATAATTATTGTAATATAATTAATCAATTATAATTTAGTATTGTGAAGTGTCCATCGAAAAATTATTTATACCTCATTTATATTTTAAGTGATGAATTCTTAAATAATTTTTATTATAATTGATTAATTATAGTATTGTAATAAAGAAAATTATAAAAATTAAATAACCAAAAAAGGGTGTTTACTGAGAATCATTTTTTTTTTTGGTGTTCTTTCATCGCAAATGATTTTACAGGTATGAATCGAGATTTATCCAAGAAATTGTCAAAGATGTGATCGAAAATTTAAACCGTAATATTCGCAATAGCTTACATGTCGCCACTCACCCAGTAGCTCTAGAATCACCTGTCGAAAAGGTGATAAGATTATTAGATATTGGATTTGAAGAAGTTCGCGTAGTGGGCATCTATGGAATGAGCGGGATAGGTAAGACCACCATCGCAAAAGCCGTCTACAACCTAATGGTCCGGGAAGGATTTGAAGGATGCAGTTTCCTTTCAAATATTAAAGATGACTCGCAGCAACCTAATGGTCTTGCTAAGATGCAAGAGCAGCTCCTTTCTGATATCTTGAATTGGAAAAAAATCAAGATCGATAATATTGACAGGGGTGTCAATTTAATCAAGGAGAGGCTTTGTTGTAGAAGAGTTTTTATAGTTCTTGATGACTTGAATGAGTCAGCACAATGGAGACCATTAGTTGGTGATCGGAAGTGGTTCGGTCGAGGAAGTAGGATTCTCGTTACAACCAGAGATGAACATTTGCTGACTGAATTAGAGGTGGATGAAAGATATAAGGTTAAGCAATTGAATCATATAGATTCAATTCAGCTTTTAAGTTGGTATGCATTTAGGGGGCCTGTTCCAGAAAAAGATTACTTCGAACTTTCCAACAGTTTGGTGGAGCATGCTGAAGGACTCCCCTTAGCTCTGGAAATTTTTGGTTCTTCTTTGTTTAAAAGAAGCCTACCAGAATGGGAAAATTTTGTGGAAAAATTACAAAAGGTCCCTCACCAACAAATTCAAAAGAAGCTTAGGATAAGCTTTGACACACTAGATGATGATTTATTGAAAGCCATATTTCTTGATATTGCATGTTTTTATGTTGGGATGGATAAAGATTATGTGATGACAATACTAGATGGTTGTGGATTCTTCCCAAAAATTGGGATTAAAGTCCTTCTTGAAAGGTCTCTCATAGCAAATGACCCACATGATCAAAAGCTACAAATGCATAACCTACTCCGAGACATGGGAAGAGAGATTGTTCGTGAAGTATCACCATCTCCTGGATATCGAAGCAGGCTTTGGTTTCATCAGGATGTTGTAGATGTATTAACGAAACATATGGTAAAAAGTTAAATGCGTTTCGTAAATAGATATAAAAATGCACTATATGCTATACTTAAGTAGAATTAATAATATTTTTGATTTGTATTTAGGGGATGGAAGCAGTGGAAGGTCTCAGCTTAGATGTACCAGCACTAGAAGATGACCCTATAAGCACCGAAGCATTTGCAAAGATGATCAACTTAAGATTGCTGAAAATCGATTCTGTACGTTTCACTGGTTCCTATGAAAAATTTTCTAGAAAGTTAAGATGGCTCTGGTGGCGTCGATGTCCACTAATGGTTTTGCCGCCCAACCTTCATCTAGACAACTTAGTTGCTCTTGAAATGCGACACAGTAGTATCAAAAAAGTTTGGAAGGAGACAAAAGTAATTAAAATCACTCTCACGATGCTATGTGTTTTCTTTTCATTTTGATATTCTAGATTTTTTTTTCTTAGAGGATATTATGGATTTGTTGTTGTTTTCTTTTCCTTGTTTTAACAGGCTCTTTACAAGCTTAAAATCCTAGATCTGAGTTATTCGGTATACCTTGGAGAGACACCAAACTTTGCAAGACTCTCAAGCCTACAAAGACTTGAACTTGAAGGTTGCACAGGTTTAGTTGGGGTTGATCAATCTATTGGACATCTGGAAAAACTTGAATTCTTGAATTTGGCAGAGTGCAAGAACATAAGTGAACTTCCAGACAGCATTTGCAACTTAAGGTCTCTTGAGACAGTGAACCTCAATGGCTGCTCAAAACTTTGTAGTTTGCCAGAGCATTTGGGTAAATTGGAAGCTTTGAGAAAGCTTGTTTTAAGTGGATCTGCTATTACAGAGTTGCCTACTTCGATCGGACTTTTGAAGAAACTTGAAGATCTATCTTTAGCTGGACTGAGAGAAGAGTTACCTTTGAAGTCTTGTTTCTCTTTCTTTTCCTCATGGATCTCTCCAAAAAGTAGTGTGGGTTCTTCTTCTTCGCTGCTACCAGCAACGTTCTCTCAGTTAAGCTCATTAGGAAAGGTTAATCTTTGTGACCTCAACTTGTCTGACCATGAAATTTCCATTGACTTTGGGAGTTTCCATTTTTTGTGTAGTTTGAATTTAGGGGGAAACAACTTCTCTAACCTACCCGCAGGAATCAGCAACCATCCAAGGTTAGAGACACTTGAGTTGAATAACTGCAAAAACCTTCGATCCATTACAGAGCTTCCTAAAAATTTAAGGGACGTATACGTAAAGCAATGCACATCACTTGAGAGATACCCAAACTTATCAAACATAGGTGGAAAACTTCTTAGAATCGCATTTAGTAATTGTTGCAAAGTAGCAGACATTCAAGTTTGGGATTTTCATAAATTGTCTTCTTGTTGGCCCCTTGGACGAGATCCTAGCCAGCCAGAGGTCTTTCTCTATCTCTCTCTGTATACATATAATATATATTATCATGCATGATAATGTTCATAACTACTAGCATTTCTTTGAAACAGAAGTCGTTGTATTCCAAGTTGAAGTTTTTGGAAGCTTACTTGCCAGCAAGAGAGCTGCCAAATTGGTTCGACTACAAAGAAATTGGATCTTCAATACTGTTTTGTATGCCTTCAATCCCGATTGGTTTAGGTCGAGCTATGATTGTGTGCGCAATCTATTCGGTGAATGAAGAATGTAATGACGAAAGTACTTCTGAAGCTTCTCTTACCATATATTTTAAGAATAAAACAAAGGGCTGTGAGACTTTTGACAGGTCAGACAATTCCTTTGATGGTAATATATGTCAAGATCATGCGTGGGTGAGTTACATGGCACCTAGTTTTGTTACCGACGGTGAAAACAACTTTACCGATGGTGTAAACGCTGAAGAAGGAGATGAAATTGAAGTTTCAATTGAGCCGCGTGGTGGAATTCTTGTGAAGAAATGTGGTATTCATCTGCCAATTCATGATAGATGGGGTTTTAAGAGCCTTAATTGATTTATTTTGTTTATTGTTGAGACCAATATTAATTTTATTAGTTGTCAATATCATGATAGTTTAACTATATATATGGAAAACAAATATGTTCAAGATATTGATATCAGAATTATTATTCAAATATTTTTAAAATATGAAAGCACGTCAAAAATAATTGTAAAATTTTTAACAATTATGAGTGAATATGAAGGTTTTAATTTTAACTAGTGTTATCTTATTCTTATTTTATTTTAAATTTAATATATTTAAATTAAACTAGTAAAATTTCTAATTACGTAGCTAATAACCAATTCCTTGTCAGCCAACTACCCAGCCAAAATTGAACTATTCCAATATTAATGCAGAACAAAGAAGATCGTTGAGCACGAAAAGCAACAATCTAAATGACAAAAAGTTGGAAAGTGCACAAAAGTAAAAAGACCTGTTTCGTTCCATACAAAGTAAGCACACTTGGGTTAGTTTCCTTTTAATTTCATGGTTTATGCTTCGGCCTCCAATTCTACATTTGTGTTCTCAGTAGCTTCCGATTCAACATCTCTCGTCTGTTTTCTTATATATTGAGGTAAGAAGAATGAACTGAGGTTTGGACCTTGAATCTCAATTTTTTAGGTGAATTGTTAGGTTTTTAAACTCAAATTTATTACAGTAAAGTTGTTTACTAACATTTTTATTTTGATAAATTAATTTAAGATTTTTTTACTTTCTATAAATATGTGATTATATTTAAGGTTAATAGTATTGTTTGGTAAGATACTCATAAGTTATTATTATACATGAAACCATGTTTGTTGACATTTTTTTGGTTAAAAAATCAACCACTATTTATTAATTTATCGTTTTTAAAATGTTTATCAAATACAATAAAACAAATAAAATAAAGTAATAATTGATGCAACAATATAATTATATGCACCCTATAAGATATTGAAAATATATAAAACCAAAAAATCTACTTGATTTTTCTCCATAATTTAGAATAAAAATATATAATTATATGTTTTTATTTAGTTATTGATCTTTTTTATGCATTAAATTCATAATTTAAATCTTTGCAAATGAGTATAAAATTTTTTTTATAGCATGATTTTAGACAATTACAATATTCATTACCACCTAATATGTATAGCACCTTTTATTTAAAATATTCAAACTTGCCACTATCAATCATTGACCACATTAGTACCACTAAGCAATAATTTTATGGTTTCCATAATTTCATATGGTAAATTTTATTAATTTAAAATTTTAAGTTTTGATTAAAAAAATATGAAATATGCACTAATAAAGTCGACAATTATATAGTAAAAAAATAAAGAATTTTGAAATATTGGTTGCAAAAAAATATAAAAAATGATTTTAGTGAAATAATTTGTAAAAAAAATTCAATTTTAACGATAATAATGATAAATAATAATAATTTATTTTTATTTTAATATAAAATAAGTAAAATTTGATAATATTTTTATATAATTTTGATTTTCATAACTTTGGATAAAATTTTGTGACCTCTAACACAATTTTGGTAACCTTTAATATTAGTTTGGCAACTTATAATATAATTTTGATAACTATTAATAAAATTTTGATAATCTCTTGATGTAATTTTAGTAATTAACCTTCGGGTAACTTATAATATATTTTTAGTAATCATTAATAAAATTTATGTTATCATATATTTAACAATACATTACGGTAAGAAAGTGTAATTTCAATTCTAATATAATGTAATTTTTTTTATATAATAACAATATTGTTTCATTCAAATTTAAAATTTTTTTACTAAATTTTTTATTAAATAGATTCATGATAAGTTTATTTTAATTTTTTAAGATGAAATTTTTACTTTCGTTTTTGCTAGTTAAGATGGTTCAATTTCTAACAACTTTAAGAATAAAAAATTTTTTAATAATTGATAACTAAGTTATTATTGATATGCTATACTTTTAAAAAAAATTTTAATAATTGATAATTAAGTTATTATTGATATATTATACTTTTTTGATGGCATTTTAGCTCGGCTTGATAAGAATGCCCCCCACTTTGCATGTCAAAATATTTGTGCCAAGCTGCCTGAGAGGGGTAAAACCCTTAAAATATAAGAAAGAGAGATCAGTGACCGATAAAGGCCAAGAGTGATTCTGACATTTGTGCGCCATTTAAGTTAGAGTTTGGTCTAGGAAAAGGAAGTGGAATAAAGGCTTAAAAGCTAAGAGTTTAGTATGTTTAGAAATGTTTAGATGAAGCTATTTATACCTGTGTGTGTGATGGGGGGAACTTGGGCCTAGATAAACCAAGGTCAGCATAGGAAACTAAGGCTAATTTTATAGGCTGAGCTGAGCTGGTAGTTAACTATTCACTCAAGGCATGCAAGTCAACACCCTAGGACACCAGCTAGTAGGTTACTAAAATAACCGTGTTGATGTGGACCTTGAGATTTTAGATTGACCGAATATGTTAGCTCGGTTGAAATGATCAAAATGACCTCATTTGCCAGATGGCTTAGACTTTGGAAGGAAATGTCTATTTTATCCTTTGGACACTAAAATGCCCCTAACAGTTCCATTGTTTTTTTCCTTTTATTGCTCTTTCTTCGTCTGTTTTCCTTTGGGAAGATTGATGAGTTCGTTTATTTTTCTAGCAGTGATAGCTCAAAGTATCAGTCAATTAATTTTGCTAGAAATTCAATTGATACTAAAACTCAACTAGACAACTCAAAGAAGAAGATTTCTAGTTTTGTTGGTTTAAAATTCAATGAATATGTGCTTGGGTCGATACATTTATGCTTATGATCTTCCTTAAAAATTCAATGAAGATATGCTCAAAGATTGTCAGCTGATTACTAGGGCTACTGATAAATCCAGTCTGTGTTCATATATACATAACTCTGGTTTAGGTCCTCAGATTGAAAGTTCCCATGCTTTGGATTTATGGAAAAGCAATTGGTTTTCAACAAACCAAATCTTACATGAGGTTGTTTTCCGTAACAGAATGAAGAAATACAAGTGCTTAACCAATGATTTGACACTCGCATCTGCTGTTTTCGTGCCATGTTATGCTGGCCTGCACCTTCGCAATCTATGGGGATTCAATACCTCTATAAGAGATTCATCTGGTCTCGATTTGGTTAAATGGCTTGCAGGAAAACCTGAACGGAAAAGAATGTGGGGTAATGATCATTTCTTGATTTCAGGGAGGATAGCTCGAGATTTCAGGAAACAATCAAACGGGAAGTCCGATTGGGGTAGCAACTTCAGGTCTGATAGAATATGAGAACTGTTGGGCTGAAAGCCTCCAATCCAATCACACCAACGGAAGCAAAATCAAACAATAAATCAAACACATAAGAGACAACAATTTAACGTGGTTCGGTCCAATCAACCTATGTCCATGGATGAGAAACAAGATTCACTAGTTGTAGAGAATTACAAACATACATCAAATCATCAACCTCACTTAACAATCAATACTCATAAGATACTCTCAATTTCCTCTAGTCCACTCACAAACAAACATACACACCCATAAGACGTAGAGCCCCAATACTTATATGGGGTGTCTATCCCACAAAACCCTATAACTTTCTTACATTTTTTTCTCATACCTAACCCTGTAGAGACTTTACTTATTTATAACCATACAAACTTGCCTATTAAGAATCCCTTTCCTCTTAGAATTTTTCTCTTGCAAGTCAAACTTAACTATTAAGAATCCTCTTTCTTTTAGAAATCTTCTTTTGTAAGTCTTCTTGTCCATCAAGCCAAACAAATCTCTTATGAGATTTGAGTCAATATTCTCAACAAAAACATGTCAATGTTAACAATTGAATCAGGATCCTGTAAAAATGACTTTGCTGTACCATGCCCCACATACTTCCATCCTTCAACAGATAATGATGTTTTTCAATGGCAGAAACTCATGAGAATCCAAAACCTGCCTTTCTTATTCTCTTTTGCTGGTGGCCAAGATCCAGACAGAAAGGCTAAACAAGGATGAGATTATCAGCCAATGCCAGCCTTCAAACAACTTATGCAATTTACTAGACTGTGGTTCCATTGGGCAATAAATGCGATGATCCAATTAATCTGATGAAAGCTGCTTCAAAGCTCAGTGTTCTGCTTGGAGCCTCCAGGGGATTCATTGACAAGAAGGTCAGCTTTTGATTCCGTTTTGGCTGGTTGTATTCATTGACCACCTGAATGGAAATAGATGGTCACTATTTTTTTCCCAGGTAATTCTCACAGAGCTGCCACCATTTGTGCTAGCCTTGAGCCAGCAATGTGGAGTCATTTTTAGGTTCCAATGGTCAATGTAAACCAGGAGGATGAAAAAGAACAAAATTCTATTGTAAGCCTGATTCAAAACAAAGGCATTTTGGTGGTCTGTATTAAACTTAAATATGATCATTTATGTTTTTATATCATATTTGTTTTATATTAAATATGTATAAAATATAAAAAATATATTATCATAATTTGTTATAAGTCAAACATGAAATATATTTTTTATTTTGATCAAACTCATAATTTTTTTAAAATTTTAAATTATTTTATTTTTATATAATATTTGTATTATATTATCGTATTTTATCTAAAATTATTTAATATAATTAAACCCAAATCAAACTAAAGTAAAAGTGTATAGCACAATCTCCAGCCCCCCAAAGTTGACTTGTTTGTAGCATTCCCTAAAGTGACGAGAAAATATTTTTGCGAATGAGGACAAACTGAAAGACGATTAAAGTTCAATTTCCGAATACAAAAATCTCTTGGCATGTGCCAAAGAGTAATCCAAGCCTCCGATAGGAATCTGTCTGTTCAGGTATCGATCGCGGCCGCCTTGGGCCCTTCGACATCTACATGCTTGCATTGGGTCTGATTATGAGTCGATTTTCTCTCGAGCGGTGGCCTGTCAGAAGAAAAGGTCAATAGCTAATTTTTAATCTTATTTGTAAAATTAAAAAATATGTTGCCAGCGTATCAGACAACGAACTCGGTGGTTAAACTTTAATCTTGTAGGATATTGTTACTTCTTTGATTAAAGTGAAATATTCTCTCTATTCGTGGATATTGACTTTTATTTATGGATAACACGTTCTTTTATGTGCTTGATATCTTTACTTTGAGTTTAATTAGCTGCACTATGTTGA